CCATCCATCCATCCATCCATCCATCCATCCATCCATCCATCCATCCATCCATCCATCCATCCATCCATCCATCCTCTTTACAGAAGAACATAACAATAAACATGAACCTAAGCTATCTGCTTCAACTGGCTGGGTTTGAGGGGAACAGGAAGGAGGACCAGATACACAATGGCAGGTCAAGAATCACATGTTAAGATAGAAATAATATCAAATGAAAACTATTCACTTTTAGCAAATCATTTAAGGAAATTAGGTCAATGTGTCCTCTAGTAGTCTAAGCTTAAGACAGCATGACAAAGTCAGAGTCAGAGTCAGAGTCAGAGTTTCTTTATTGTCATTCGCACCTCATGTGGTACATGTGGTGGAGCGAAATTATGTACACAGGGTCCCAGTTACATCCGACAATAAAATGTATAAGAAAAACAGTAATAACATCTAAGATATGAACTAAGAAAAACATCCACTAAATATACACTAAGCACTCATAACATAAAACATTGAACATCAGCACAAACATGAACATGAGTCTGTGAGCAGATGTGCACGCATGAACACATCAACATTGAAACAGATCAGCAGCAACATGAAACAGATCAGCAGCAACATGATATGGTTTTTCACAGTGATTGTTCTAGTTAGAGATTCATGAGTCTAACAGCCTCAGGGTAGAAGCTGTTCCTCAGTCTAGTGGTTCTACACTTAATGCTCCTTAACCTCCTTCCTGAGGGGAGTGGGGCAAAAAGTGTGTGTGCTGGGTGGGTGGGGTCCTTCATGATGCAGGTGGCCCTCTTCCTGCATCTGGAGGTGTAGATGTCTGTGATGGTGGGGAGACTGATTCCAACAGATTTCTGTGCAGCCTTCACCACTCTAACTCAAACCAACCCTAACTATAGGATTTATCAAAAAGGAAAGTCTTAAGCCCAGTCTTAAAACTGGACAATGTGTCAGCCTCATGGACAGAATCAACCAATACCAAACCAAACTGTAACCTTAGCTCTCCCAATTAAGATGTCTTAAATATTCAAACAAAAGTCTGCAACATACTTTTACTTCTTGACTTTTCAAACACTTGTTTTTTTTCAGCCGTCTGTTTCGGACTGCACCTGGTACAGCTACTGTATCTCTAATGGTTGATTCCATCACATCACAGGCTGAACTGAAGCATCGTTCTTCTTTGGATCGTTGACTTCTCCATAACGACAGCTAAATGGTTTAGACCCCTCAGAAATCCTTGTCTTAACTTTCCCGGGTGACTTTTCTTACAAGTTGTTGACCTCAACTGAACCCCAGTTGACTCTTTAGTTAATGCCATCCTTCCACAGCCATGATCAACATGCACAACACTGTTTCCAGGTAAGGCTCCAATCCAACTGTGCCAAAGTAAGGCTCCTTTTTTTTTTCCTGTGATAAGAAAAAGCTACGTTTGCATTTGGTTATGATATTAGAAGCTGATGCAATTTAATAACTAAATGCACTTACAGTATATTCTCATCTTTTCTCAATTAATTTGACAATCTGTCAGTATTATAATAATATATATTATTTTGCACCAAAAACATTAAGGTTACTTGCCTTCCCTGTTCAATCCCAGTCTAAAAAAAAACATGTATCTCCAAAACTACAAACATGCACTCTTCAGATCCCTCAGTGACAGGGGACATCGGCGTACCGCTTCTTTTGATAGCATTTGTTCGATGTGTGGACAGCAATGTTATTACCTTTGAAAAATATGAGACTTCATCACTTAAAATACGTTGATTTTCAGTAGGTGAAACAAAAACAAATTTAATATAATAAATCTATATCTGAGAATATAAAAATTAACATCCAAAGCAAACACTCGTTGGGTTTGATGTATTTATTTGCTCGCATTCATGAAAAGCAGGCGTTTTGAACTTTTCACACTCTCTGACATTCCTTCTTAGATTTCGATTGGTTAATTGTTGGCACCGCTGCTGCACGGTGCAGGAAAGGAAGGGAGATGTGGCTGTTGCTTAGCAATCCGGTTGCCATGGATACCGTCAGGGCTCCCTCCTAAAGAGTACACTGTTATGTACATTGAAAAGAGAGAAAGAGAGTAGAAGATCAACAGAGGAGAGTCGTGGAATGAGGAGCGACCGGGAGGGATGGATGCAAGAGAAGCAGAGAGGAGGGGAAGAAGCAGAATTTGAGAAGTTGAAGAGGAGAGAGGAGTGAAAAGGAGGGCACGGAGGAGTTCATTAAAAATAACATAAAGATTGGGAGGAGTGAGAGAAAACAGACAAAGAGAGAAGTGAAGTGAGAAGCAGAGAGTTGACAATGAGAGGAAAAAATTCCCTCTTCATGATTCATCATATAGATTCCCACTGACAGCTGGATGGTGAAGGCAGCGTTATATTGGAGTCTGCTTCATTTGCTATTCTGTCTCAAGATGTGGTGCCGTGGCTCACCGGCTGGTGGTTTCTGTGGTCCCTCAGTAGTCTTGGCCATGTTTGGATAAGCCCCCGCACCACCACAAGCCCCCACCCACCTGAAATCAATCCTTCCATCTATCTCCTGTTGTCTGTCTGTAAGTGAAAGGAGCAGTGACTGAACAACTCAGCAAGAACAAAGTGAACTAGGACTAAACGCTACCACGATTACATGCAATATTTATCATCTCTTTCCACAACGAAACAGAAATACCAAGGACTCGCTGCATTAGAAGTTTAGAGGAGGTCTTTTTTGTGTAAATCTGCTCCTAAGTCTGAAAAAAAAAACCCTGTTTGCTTCTTTAAAAGAAGTGTTCTGGCTTGATGCAGAAAAACACACGACGCCACTTGCGACGCATGTTTATGTGAAATGAAATTCCAGTTGGTCACACAAGCCGTTGCACTGTAACGTCACACAAAAAGAAAATTACCAGTACACCACTTGCAGAAACCCAAACTCTCTGTTTCAGTACCTCGAAAAATTGGTTTACTTTCCCTTTTTTTCCCTTTATGGGGAGAATTTCTCCACTTTTACGCATGTTGCTTTGTCCCACTGGGTAATTTCTGACATTTCCACATGATGGTGCAGTGTATAGTGGACCACGAGAGGCTGGGCACAATTCAAATAGGATTTCACAGTCACATTCCCAGCCAGCTCCCTCCCTGGAACTAAATAGGATTAATAATTTGCATTTTAACTCTTTATCGACAGGGACACTATAGCCTGTGCCAGTTAAGTGGCTCTTTCTAGGAGTTTGCAAACATCGGGACATTTGCACAAATTGTCACGTGCAAATTTAGAGAGTTTGAGAGTTTGAATAAGGCTGGATTTCTTTGCATTCATGATTTATGGGCTTGATAGTGTGTCTGCATGCAGTTTAGCTGCGTGTCTATTTGCTAAGCATGCACATATCCGACTGCCGAGCCTGATAGATTGTCTGTGTGTG